CAATCATGCTTTGGGTCTGCATTCAGCAACATTTCTATGGGAAGTTGTTCTCAAGATTGTGGCTCTCTTACATGCATCTTTAGATCTCTTTACTACTTGTATCATGGTTATCTTCATTCTATATTTTTATTATTATTTGTTTGTCTGTCTTCCTACTAAGCATAAGCAAAAGCTACCTTAGGGCAGGGACTAGGTCTGCTACAGTCAAAGCAGACTCCAGTCCTTTGCACAGGGTAGGGAATGAACCAACATATTAGACCCATCAGTCTGCCCCCTGAGTTCATGCTCCTGAGCATGATGCTGTACTGCCGCCCGGCTGAGCTCCAGCTCAGGAGGCATCAGGTTCTTGGTTAGAAAAGGTTCTAACCAAGATGCAACATGTCCTTACAAATAGCATGTCCTTTGTTAAAAAAGCATCACCACCTCATTCTCTAAGTTGGATGAGAAATGAAAATCTAGGTGTATGGTTCAAAAGGATGACAAAAGTCAACTGATCATACTGAGAGAACTGAGCTTGCAGGGGAAAATTAAATAAGCAGATTATTATTTTTTAAAATATATCTTTATTGATTTTAGAGAGAGGAAAGGAGAGGGAGAGAGAGAGAGAAACATCAATGATGAGAGTCATTGATCAGCTGCCTCCTGCACGCCCCTGACCGGGGATCGAGCCCGCAACCCAGGCATGTGCCCCGGCCAGGAATCGAACCCCGATCGCCTGGATCCTAGATCAACGCTCAACTGCTGAGCCACCCCCAGCCAGGCAAGCAGATTATTTTTTAATAAAACTATTTGTTAAGAAATATAAATTGTATTATCCCAAGATTTTTGAATCCATGGAATTTAAGAACTAAGTTCTCTAATATTAGCTATCTCAATGCTCCATAATTTATAGGTGAGCATAAATAGGACCCGCAAAATAAATGACTGGCCCAAGTCCACCAGCCAATGACAGTGGAGCCAGCATGAGAGTATAGACAGTTTTTAGCAGAGTTTGGAGAAAAAAACATACTCATGAGAAATCCAGGAGAGTAACTGAAGAAAACTAAGATCAGTTAAAACTCATATAATTATCCTGGGTTAAGATCACATCAACCAGAAAAATACAAACAAGAATAGTACAAATACTTTGGCTTTATATTATAAATCACCTTTTAGAATCACTAAGTATATTTACAGTACATGACTTCTACTCTCAAGATCTGAGTCTAGTAGGAGACAAGACTTGTCAACAAATCATTTTCAGTATGGCAACTGCAATAATGGACATACATTCTCCATGAGATTATAAAAGAAAATACATTGTTAAAATTCTTACCTCAAAATGATTCCATTCTAAAAATATACTTTTTTTTTTCTCCTTAAAATATTTCATTTTATATAATGGATAACCCCCAAGGGAAGAAAATTAGTAAAAATAGCAAATTGTCTTTCATATCTGTCATTCAACATATTGGTGGAAAGAGGAGAGAAATGCCTACCTTGGAAGTGAAAGAAATGAGCAGACCGGTGCTGAATCAAGACTTTATATACTTTGTCCAGGTCCGTGACAACCTCAGTCAATTTTGCCATTGTGTCTAAATTTGTCTACTGGTTTTTTAAGAAACTGAACCCATGGATCTGGATTTGGCACCCAAAATGTCTCTGAGGTAATGGTGTGAGATGCCAGAAAATGATTCCATTTCTATAACCCAAATCCAAAGACTAATTCAACTCATCCTCTAAATGCTTGCTGCATAATAAGATCAGGCAATGTTAGTAAGAGAAGTAGCAGCGCCCATCTGGTGGCCTCTGTTTTGGAGTCCTGGGCTCTAGTGCTCTCTCAATGATTTTGAACAATTAAGCTAAAGGTTGCATTTTCCAAATTGCCAAGAAAATAGTTAATAATAATTGTCTACTATTTATTTAAGCCATTTTAGGAATACTAAAAAACAACACATAGTAAAGGTTTTACTATGTTCCAAGCACAGTTCTAAACACTTTGTATATTTGAATTCATTTGAGCCTCACCGCAACACTATAAGATAGGACTTTTATTTTTCCCATTTTACAAAGGAGGAGATGGGTAGATATGATAAGCTAGAAAATTTTGGAGACAAGTTTGAGCCTAGAATGTTGGGTCTCAAAATCTCTTATTATAACCATTACGATATACAATTATTCTGATGATGTTCTTTCATTTCTTCTCCCAAAAAGTGTAACTTTAAAAAGTGTCCTTTCTGCCCAAGGAATTTTATTGCTATTTGCTTCTTCCAGCAGCCAGGAAATTTTCTTTTGCTACAGTCTAGGTGAAGCAAGCAGCTAACCAATTACTATAAAAGAGGAAACATCCAGTCAAAGCTTTTGGCTTTCAATCGTTTTTCCGGGACTTGAGCGCCTTTGCAAAACCTGAAAATGTCTCCCTGGAGCAAAGGACTCGCTAAGCTACGTTTAAAGTAACTTGGGAAGTGATATAAAAGTGGCACTCTTTTGGGCTGTAGCAAACGGCTCGCACAGTCGGCTTTCAGCACTGACGGGCCGGTTCTGCACAGCTCTTCTCCCCATTAATCCACCATTTCCCAAGGAGGGAAGAAGAGGCGAGGCGAGAGCCACCTGTGCCGAGGCCTGTCACGGCAGCTTGGTGGCAGAAACGGGCTAGTGACCCACGCTGGAGCAGGGCTGCGGAACTGTAGCCAGCCCCTTATGCCAGGGTGAGCCAGAAGGCAGCCTGACTGCGGTGGGCCTTGCGGCTTCTTACAGGACTGCAGCTTCATCGGGACGGGTAAGCTGGCAGTCAGCAGTGACCTCGCAGAAGCCCAGGCGACGGGAGACGAAGCAAGAGAACTCCCACCGGCTGGCTTTCGGCCTGGAGGCAACGGGCATTAAAGCTGCCCGTTGGGCTTTCAGGAGACTGGAGGCCATTTTCCACGTGTGCTTAGCGCTTGAGCAAAAGAGTGCATTGCCGTGTTTGAACTTTTAGAAAAGAATCAGTCCAGATAAATCCGACAAAACTGTTAAATTTGCATTTCAAGGAGCTCCGAGGATTCACAAAGTCCAAAGTGCAGAGGAAATGAACCAGAATGGTTCACTTTTCAGAGGGGTCTAATTTGCAATGAAGGAGAGACAGCTGTTAAAGTAATAAACCTCTTTCCCTTTTGAACGGTCAGGAGGAGAAGCAGGTACCAGCCAACTCGGGGGGGCAGGTGGTGGGGAGGAAGGGGAGGTGTGTGTGTGGGGGGATGGGGATGTGTTGAGGCTCTATTGAAAAAAAAATCCCAGGGAAGGGCAAGATCGGAAAGTTGCTGATGCGGCTGTTCACAGATCTACAGGGCAGACAGGTGTGGCAGCCCCCAGATTAAAATGTGGCCCATGAAAACTTATAACCCCAGTACAGCGAGCCCTCACTTAACATCATTGACAGATCCCATGACTTTCAACAGAACCAATTTAAACAAGAGTTAAGTTCCTACAGCATCTCATCAACATTATAACAAAATGACACTGAACAAAAGGACATGGTTTGAAGACTTGCTGTGAGGCAGGGCAACTTGTTATCTGGGCTAAAGAGAGAATGGAGATCAAAACATGGGCCTTATATTTTTTAAATTATAAAACACTAATCAGAAAGAATATACACACCCCTGTGTTCATAACAGTGCAATTTACAATAGCTAAGGTCTGGAAACAGCCCAAGTGCCCATTAGCAGATGAGTGGATAAAAAAGCTGTGGGACATTTACACCAGGGAATACTACGCAGCTGTAAAAACGAAGGATCTCGTATCCTTTGGGACAGTATGGATGGGCCTGGAGAGTATTATGCTGAGTGAAATAAGCCAGGCAGAGAAAGACAAACATCACATGATCTCACTTATGTGTGGAATCTAATGAACAAAATAAACTGATGAACAAAATAGATCTAGAGACATAGAAGCATGGAACAGACTGAGGGATCTCAGAGGGAAGGGGGGAGGGGAGCAAAGAAGAGATTAACCAAAGAACTTATATGCATATATGCATAAGCCATGGACACAGACAGTGGGGTGGTGAAGGCCCGGGAGGGGGCAGGTGTGGGGTCAATGGGGGGAAAAGGAGACATCTGTAATACTTCCAACAATAAATATAAACAAAAAACAAAACAAGAACATGGGCCTTAATGTAAAGTAAGGGGTGTCTTAACAAAAAGGAAGCAGCTAAGAGCTAAACTCAGGTCAACAGCTGCTATATTCAAATGATCAAATTCCATAGATGACTGATTGGAAAATAAAAAAGGTGGAGGGTTTGATTCCCGGTCAGGGCACATACCGAGGTTGTGGGTTCAATCCTGTCAGGGTGCCGTGTGGGAGGCAGCTGGTTGCTGTTACTCTCACACATCAATGTTTCTCTCTCTCCCTCCTCGTTACTCTAAAATCAATAAAAATATATTTTTTTAAATAAAATAAACCATTTGAGAGCCAAAGAATTCACACGATGTTGCACTGTTATTTGTACCAAGTTATTCATTTCTGTTCCAATCTTAATAGAAGGGTGAACAGATGTTAGGCTATGTCAGAGGACGGACAGAGGGAAAGAGAGCTTGCTGCAAACTTACAAAAAAGGAAAAACCTCCCAAATCTCTCACTGGCCGGGGGCCCATTTTCTTCCTTTCCCAATTCTAGCCATGTAACTTGAGGATGAGCACATTTGCGAAAGAACTTGATGTGTGGATATAATGTGATGGTTTTATGTTTGTGAGAAAATAAGTTCATAAACTTATGAGAAAGAGAATTATTAAAGAAGTTATTATAGTATTTAAATGAGAATGAACTATATAACCGTATTACAGGATATTTAAAAATATATGCAGTTAAAAATAGTCCCAAAGTGGTTATCTCTGGGTGGTGGGATTATGGGTTCTTTAAAAATTATTTTGCATCTCTACATTTTCTAAACTTCCCATAATAATACTAAACATGTATTTTTGTGTGATTAAAAATTATCTTAAGATGCCCAGTATTTCTGGGCGTAAGTTAGGATAATTGGGAGTATGAAATATATACATGCACGTTACACACCTATACATACACATATGTGATTAACTTAACATATAAACAAGTCAAGCACATTATAAAACACTTTTGGCTTGCCTTTGTCCTGTTGTGTAACCTGGAACAGATCTTGCATCTTCTTATCCTCCCACTCATGTCATCCGTCTTGCTTCCCCTCACCCCACACATGACGGGGTTGGCAACTCAGAATTCATCCTGCTATTTCCCTCCATGCTTACGCAGACAGGCAAACACATCACACATTGCTATTGGTCGTTTCGACAAAATTGGATCAATATACTTAGGTCTCCGTGTCTTGCCTTTCTCACTCAATTGAGCCCCTGCCAAACCGACTGCTAGAACTCTCATTTATTACTGTAACGGCTGTATGGTATCCCAGTGTAGACGTGTCATCACTTATTCAGCAATTCCCCTATTGAAGTTTCTAGGTGTTATTTGGTTTTGCTTTTTTTACACCATTATGAAAGATGTAATTGTCGTCCTTATACATGTATCATTACTCATAGTTTTATTTCTTTAGGAAAGTGCCCCAGGAGTAGGAATGTTTAGAGAAAATGCATTTAAAATTTTAACAGATACTGCCAGGTTGCTTTCCAAAAAGGAAGAAGCACTTAACAATTTCACTAGCCATGTGTATTTTAGCATATGTGCTGCCGCCAAAGCGAGCATAGCCAGTCATGCTTCAAGTATTATTTTTCCTGCATTACTGAAAGTAATTGGCATTCTCATTAGTTTTTGACCATCCAAGAAGTATAAAGTAGTATCTCATTGCAACCCTGATTTCCCTACTTTAAAAATTTGAGTGTCTTTTCAAATGCTTATTATCTGAATTGATTCTTGTCTGGGTTGTTTATTTTGCCTGTTTTTATGGGGTACTTGCTTTTTCTTTTCAATTTGCGATTTGGATTTTTTAAGCTGACACAAGTAATTTATTTTTTAGAAAAGCAACATCCAGAGAATGCCCAACAGCCCTAGTATGTCTAAAGTGCTATATATAAAACTAGTAATTGCTCATAACGACAACACTGAAGTACTGAACAAATACTGAGCTACATTCTGAATCCATTTGATTTTAATGTCCTTCTATATATCAAAGTTCTAATACACTGATATTCGCTAAGCCAGGTATTCAATCATGTAACTTCTGGTGATACATGACTTGGCAATATCCAAGTCTTTTAGGAATACATAAGTTTACTCACACTCACCTGGTCTATCTCCACACAAATACTTTAAAGTCCCAATTTATTGGTCAAGTGGTATATTGCTTGAGTCCAATAAATATATTTAGACTTTTCTATTATACCAACCAAGTTAAATGTCCAACTAAATGAGTAAAAACAATCTGGATTAGGATGTGTGACCTAACCCCTTGTGTCATCTGTATTATTAAGTTTTCCGTATCAGTTTTTCCCTAAATTTGTTTATAGTAACATTTGTCTTATATTTTGATATAGCTAAATAGATCTTTTCTTTTTGTTACTACTAGTTTTTGTCTAGCTTTGGAGGATTATAAATGGTTATATTTAGTCAGTGTTTCTTGGTAGTCCCAGTATGAACTGCCAAGGGGAAAAACAATAACAAAATTGCCCTTTGTGAATGAACAAATTAGGAACAGAAAACTCCAAAATAACAATGGCTCTAATAAGTAGTTTATTTCTGCCTTGAAGTCTAGAAGGAGTTAATCCAGGGCTTGTATGTGCACCCCAGTGTAGGGGATCAGGTTTCTTCTTTCTTGATGATCTGCTGGGCATGGCTTCCATCCCCCAGGTCAACTCACAATTCAAAATTCTGTTAGAGATCCAGCCATCTGTCCACTTCCAGTTAAGAAAGAGGAAAGAAAAAAGAAGGGCCATGCACTCTAAAGAGTTTCCCCAGAAATTGTCCAGATCCCATTTATACCACATTAACATCACATTAACAAGAACTTAATTACACTTAGTTGCAAAGGATGCTTATATTTCCCTGGCAACTAGTAAAGAGGGACTATAAAACAGTCTTTATTTCAGACGGCCCTGTGCTCAGCTACAAAACTGCGTGTTTCAATACATTGGAAGGTAGGTAAAAACTCACCACGAGTTTCAAAGCAAGAGCTTGCTGAGGTGCTTTGAAACTAATGATTTTGGGGGGAAAATACCTTTTTATGAACTTCATATTACTCTAAGTAAACAGGTGTATACAAATAAACGAGGAATGAATAAATGAATGAATGAGCTCACTGCTAATAGTTTTCCAGAGTTCGTTTGCTATCCCTAACCTCGCTCTTCCAAGGTGGCCACTCCTGACCATCATTTTCTTCTCTAGCCAGGTGGGCACAGGTGTTTCAGCAGATGATGCCTACTTATTTGGAAAACTACTATCAACCAGAAGTGACCCACCACCACTGCATAAAGGAGACTATGTTTCCCATCCACTGCTTGGGTTCATCAATTGCTCATCCCGTATGCCTGATGCTCTCAACAATCTGGAAACTTCCTTCATGAGCCAGGTAAAAGGATTAAAAAAAAAAAATCTACTGAGAGAAAAACATTTTTCAGCTAGAGGGTTAATGCTGCTGGGTGTTTTTTGATGAGTGGCTAGATGTGAAGGAATAACTTCTGTTGAGATGGTCTTGGGTCTAGCCATTTTTAATAAGACTGCACATCGCAAAAGAATGTAATAAATTTTATCTTCAAGAAGTAAAGATAGACACAAAGCAGATGCCATGGTTTTATAATGTGGGTTTGTTATCTGGCTGCCTTTTGAACCTAAGAGATGAATTTCAAAATACACTTCACCAATGCTTGCTGTATATTAAGAATAATGCGAACTTTCTGAGCAAATCAGGTCTCTAGTTTTAAAATAAAATACCTGTATTATTAAAGAAATGGTAAAAA